TTTTAAGAAATCAATTGTAATTTTGTAATTTAAAATAAATTAAAAGCCTTTTTGATATGTTGTAAATGGACTTTGGATGTGTTTCTAAAATCCATTTCATATAGAATTTTTTTTATAATTTGGGCTCTTATATTGGGTATAATAGTGAATCTCCCTTATTGTTTCTACTTTTTCACTACTACAAAAAAACGAAATAGACGACGGGAATCTACCGTCGTTGTAATGCTTTGAAAACCGTCATTAAATCGACCACCATCTTTTTGGGTGTCAAACTACGACGGCTTTTCACCGTCGTTATTTATCTGTAAAGACGATAGTTTTTAAAGAAAATCGTCATTGTTTAGAGGTAAAGATCATTAATTATATGAGGAAAGACGACGGTTTTTATAAAAGCGTCGTGGATTGTAGGTTAAGATGATGGTTTTTTATGAAAATCGTCGTGGATTGTAAGTTAAGACGGCGGTTGTTTTATAAAAACCGTCGTTAATTATCTATAAAGACAACAGTTGCTTTATAAAAACCGTCGTTAATTATCTGTAAAGACCATGATTTATTATAAAAATCGTCGTCTAATAAGTTCCCAAACTGCTACATTTTAGTTCTTTTTGATTTCCTATGATGCTATACAACGATTTTAACTAGAAAATCAACCATAATGCTTTATTAATGAATATATACACTCAAAAGTAGTTTCTTTCATAAAACTTGAAGATTCAATAGTTATTACATAGTTAATCAATCTTTATTCTACAACAAACATAATTCCTACCAATTAAATATAAATATTCAATTGATACATATGGTAATTAAATAGTACAATCTTTTCCTAACAAGACCTACGTACTCTTAATCCAAGCCTTTCTCATCCAAACATACAAACGATGCACATATAAAATCAAAATGAAAGAGAGAAAAAACGCTAAGATTATAAACATATAAAATTAGGTGGAAGAGAAATTTTACCATTGGACCATATTTCCATAGAAAACTTGTAAAATGAGCATAAAAAAGACCATCGAGAACCTGCAAAAGGAAAAATATAAAATCAGGGAGACAAAGAACATACCAGAAACGCAAANNTTTCGAAAGGTAGGAGGCTAGGGTTTCGATCTTCACAATTATCAAGAGATTAGGACAATTATAGAGCTTGGACCTTCAAAGGAGTGCGAGGGCCAAGGGCCTGAAGTGGTGATGACAGCCATGGGCCTGAAGTGGCCTGCGCGACAGATTTCAACGAGTCTTTCTAGATCGCGACTACGAAATTGGAAAGCTAACCAGACCAAGCCGCTGAGGTTGATGAGAGAGTTGAACACCTGAGATGGAGATCATCGTTAAAGAGCATGGAGATCGAGATCTTCACCATCCAACCAGCTTTGATTCTCAAATACAGAACCTCCCTTTCTATCTTATGGATCTGCGAAGACCTCAATCTCTCAACTCCTTCATTGATATCGATTTTTTGATGATTTTGTAGAGAGTTTCATGAGGTTGTTTTAGAGAGCTCAGAAGGGTTTCAAGGAGGGAGAGATAAGGTTTTCAGAGACGGGGGAAAATCTGAAAATTTGTTGAGCGCGAATTCACTTAAGCGGCCTTTTTTTAGCGTGTTTTAAAAGACGACGCTTGTTAGTGACAAGTGTCATCTTTTAAAAATCAAGTGACCTTTTTTTGTAAATAAAAACCATCATATTTTGCCTACAACTAACGAAGGTTTTAACAAAAATGTCGTCCTTACCTATAAACAACGACGATATTTTGTCACAAACCGTCGTCTATATAACAAAACAACGACAGTTCTTTCAAAAAAACCGCCGTCTTTACATATAATCAACGACAGTTCTTTCAAAAAAACGGTCATCTTTACATATAATAGACGACGGTTCTTTCAAAAAATTGTCGTCTTTACATATAATAGACGACAGTTCTTAAAAAAAAAACGGTCATCTTTACATATAATAGACGACAATTCTTTAAAAAAAACCGTCGTCTTTACAAAAAAAGGCCACTTGATTTTTAAAAGACGACGCTTGTTAACAAGCGTCGTCTTTTAAAAATCAAGTGGCCTTTTTTTGTAAAGACGACGGTTTTTTTGAAAGAACTGTCGTCTATTATATGTAAAGAGTTAGTGACAAGTATCGTCTTTTAAAAATCAATCTAACGCTAGTAGTGTATAAGATGATATATCATGACGGTTTTAAAAACACCGTCGTCTTTTAAAACATAACGACGATTTTAAGATGCACCGTCGTCTACTTTGTGTCGTGGTTTAACTATTTTGTAGTAATGTTTGCTTGATTCTTCTGGGGCCTCCTCCGCCCTTGAATCTATTTGATATGTTAAAGCTATAGAAATATCTACAACAAACATCATCATGTGATGTGAGTACTAGCCTTGCCCTGCCTTGGTGGTTGTGATCATTATACATATTTATTCTCTCATACTTTTTAATTAACTTTTCCTCCACGTTCCATATGGATACAGATGCTCTCCACTGAATCTTTCATTCACTTAACCTAACCAAAAAAAGAAATGAATCTTTCATTTGGCACTATCTACTTAATTCTAGTCCGTTCATTCATACATACATTAATCACAAATAGAAAAATACTTCCCTCCTTACTGTGTAAGTAGGATTTCCTATATTAATGTTTGCCAATAGTAGTGTGATATGTGTGCATAAGTTTTTTTTTTTATTAATTATTTTTGCATGTGTGTCAAACTTATTCACATAAAGAAAAAGTATCTCCTTACAGTAAAGGAGGCAAGAAGTATGCATAAAGATATATATCATTGGCCTCCCAGGTAAAATATTATATTATATGCATCCAGTATTTAAGGAGCAATTTCAGTATCTAAACAAACTTAAAATTCGTCACCCCATAAACCACATCTCCTATTTCCATAACCACTTTTATCGCATAGTTGACATCCCCTGGTGTATATGTAATATATACACGTGATGAGATTTAGAAGTTGCACGTACTTATCTATTCCACAGTAGTAAATATCTCTTGATTATGCTGTTGCACCTGCACGCCATGATTTCATATCTTGGTTCAGCGATTCACACTTTGTAAAGAGGATAAATCTTATCATGATCCAAAAATGTATACCTAATGAAAAACTAAGTCACTTACTCAATCAATTCAAAACAGCATGTTCGAAATATCTCTCTTCCCCTCAGTACTCTTTATATAAAATATCCAAATCCAATACCAGTGAGTCCACACAGGTATTAATATTCACATGAGTTCGTCGTGGGCAAAGCATAGTAGTGATGATCACTATCATCACAGACAAACTAACCATCATACATGATATATATATGTGCAACATTAATTTCTATTCTATTTCCATTTTCATGTAACGTTCCCCTGGTGCAGAGCAGGCCATGTCGCGATCTTCGAATCATAGTAAAACCACCTCACCCATCATACAATGTTAGAATCAGTGTTGATATTTTCGCTTCCGGTCTTATTTCTTCACCCACCATGTACATTTTAAAAAACACAATTATATCTTTTCACTCATTATTATTCCTAAAATACCATTTAATTATTAATTCAAATAAAATATCTTTGTTAATTATTAGTACGTAGTTGAGATATAAAGAGGATCAAGTTGTGTTTGACGAACTAGATAAATATTTTAGAAGTTTGCCACAACCACAACAGGGCTATGTGCCTCTGTCAAACTTTACTCGAATTTGCTTGAATTATCAATTAAATAGTATTTTTAGGATTATAATTGTATTTTTTCAAATTTACATGATGGATGTGAAGATAAGATTGAACACGGGGTGGAAATCAACTGCCAATTATGCCAATGAAATTAATGAGAGCATAAAAAAAAGGGCCACTGATAAATAATATTATTACCATTTAGTTTTGTTAATTAATACGAAACGAAGATAATTAATAGTATATTCATAATATTGATTCAGCCAGTGAACAGTAACCATCACCACCAATATATATAATTGGATAAGAATAATAATGAAGATAGAAATTAAACATATTCTATATATCTTCATGTCAAGAATCAAATAGCCAAGAACGCGAGACGACAGATGGACACATAACATTATGGGAGCCATACAATACAAGTTGGCATGCTTAAGTGGTTGTGGTTCAATCGACCAACCATGACGCTATTTCATTTGAAACAGTCTAGTTTTAGATATTATCTCAAAGATTATCTCTGTAAAAAATCAGATATTTAAGGAATCCCTTCTTTACGGTAACATGTCTTAGGCTCCATGTGTAATATAGATTAGAAAAACATAGGACTTTTGATTCTCAAAGAAAAGAAATTCATGGGACGACTTGTGGCCAAAAAAAGTATAATTAAAATGCTTCAACATAACGTTAAGAGTGCATTAAGTTTTGTATTAATTACGTGGTAAAAAATAAAAGAAACATATGAATGAATATCAGATGAATCATTCTAACTAAAACAAAAAGATTAATTAAAATTCTATTTGGATTAAGTTTTATATATTCTTTTCTGAACAAACTTCTATTTGAATTGAACCTAATTAATTTTAAATTAGAGATTGTATTAGGAATCTCTAAATTTATCCATCCACATAGAATCTTATTGATGTTGTCTTTTTAACCTTGCACCTAGGAATTTTTTTCCTTTTTGGTATAATTGTTTTTTGTTTTTGCCTTTTAGCTATATAAAATGTGAACCTACGATCTGTATGAACTCTCCGATTGCGTGTTTGTGTTTCCACCTTCATTTTAATTTTAATTTTTTGGTCAACACCTTCATTTTAATTATACGCGATTTCCAGGTCGTTTCCTAGAAATTTCATCATTTTTTCTTTTTCATTGTATAGATAAAGTACTTTAGAAAGAAAAACAAAATTTGTGTTTGGAAAGTCAAACAAAAAACAGTGTCTTAGCTGAGTGAGGGCTCTTCTTCTTCGCACGTCGGATGGAAGGGTATTTTAGTCAAATACTCACGTGGGACTTTGAGCGTTCTATATATATGATAGAAAGAGCACCTCGCTAATGTCTGTGCTGGTTTTTTACCTTGTATTTTGTTCTCTCTCTTGCTCTCCCTCTCTCTCTCTCTCTCTCTCTTAGTTGCTTTTGTCTTGTGTATCCTCGCCATTTTGTGCCGGCCATGGGAACCCAAGCTCCAACTGACCAGAACAATTATGCCTCTACAGATGTAAGTCTCTCTCTCTCTCTCTCTCTCTCTCTTTGACACTTTCGAAAGCTCCAAAATGTCGGGGCACTGTTGTTTTTAACACATGTTTCGAAAGCTTGCTTTGTTTGTTTTTTTCTTCGCTTGCTCTATGACTAACTATATATGATCTTGTTATGAGAATTACACTAAACATGTGTTTGTTTCCCGAGAAACACAAGGGGAAAGAAAAATGGGGGGTAAATAGATAGTTTGATTGTATTATTAATGCTCTATTTGAATCCACCTTAAAGTAGGAAAATGGAAAATGCAGCAACATACATAATATCAGTCAAACAAACACACATGTAAATCTCGCAAGTTAATACTTTATACTTTCTCTTCCTATTCTTGCTTTGCAATTTCGTAGCCTTTCTCTCAGTTTCAGTCTGAGATGAGGTGTTGTGTTCTGGTGTTATTTCAGTCTCAGTTTCGTCATTATTTCACTCAATTTGGAGGAAAGTTCCCCGTTTCTATCCTAAACCGCTGCCCTACGGCATCTCTTGTTTAATTTCCTGCATATGTCATTCAGCTTTGAATTCCAAGGAGTTGACTAATATACTTCGATTCAGGACCACATAGATATAGATATAAATAGTCTTTGTGTTCTCACTATCAAACAAAATTCGGAAATGAAAGAGTTTCATCTGACTATTACATTTACCGGTCACGTGGTAAGATGACTTCGTAAGAAACAAATTATACACTCTTAAAATAAACTTTCCTTTTTGTATAATCATGTCCCATGTACAAAGAGTTTTGGATAATATGTATTTACTTCCTTGATGTCATGTTATCTCTTAATTTTTAATTTGATGTGTTTTGACTCAACAACACACAATGAGATATTATTTGCAAATGAGGTCTTCATCCACTTGATTTTCCTTGTTTCCAAATTGTATAGTATATTCCATCTTGCATTTAATTTCCTAGCCTTACATATGTCTTGATTTGTTGGCAGTTTCCGTTTTCCAGTTGTCACAATTATAATTCTAAGGATGGATTTTTAATTCAAAATACTTCAATTGGTACACGCAAGAAATAGGCACGTATTTAGGCCAAAAAATTGAATAGAAAATGGGCTATTGTACCGTTGGTCGTAATCAAATGGTGCTGGGCCATGTGGACATGGAATGGGTGAGAATCTCTAGTGACAAAACAGCGTTATCTCCGTTATAAATAAGTATTTTCAATAAAATGGGCCCTATGTTTGAAAAGAGTAGATACCACGTGTCCAAAGCTGATAAGACACTGCTTAGATACAGCTCACTTACAAGTTGACAAAATTCATAAAAGCCCTTTTTTCAACTTTTTAACTCTTCCCCTGAAGATACGAACGGGATACCCGGATACCAAATAATAAGATTCACTGGATGTTTATTTCGAAAACACCCCCGTAAGTCCCTAGAATTCCAACTATACCACTGGTGGTGCATCCAGCTGAAAAATTCACATCACATGACAAATTATTGTAACAATTCATTTGGGTGACAAAATTTGTTGTTTAAGGATTGTTGCTAAGGAAACATGTTATGTTATCAGATTGATGCAAAATTAGCGAAGCAGAAGGCGATCGATGATTGGCTTCCAATTACTTCTTCAAGGAATGCAAAATGGTGGTACTCAGCTTTCCACAATGTCACAGCCATGGTCGGAGCTGGTGTTCTCAGTCTCCCTTATGCCATGTCAGAACTTGGATGGTATGTTATGTTACTTGTAATTCAAGCAAGCTTAATTTTATGTTATTATTATATTATTATTTTTTAATAAATAATTAATGGTGTTTAAATAAAAATAAATCAGGGGTCCTGGTGTGGTGATTTTGGTGCTGTCATGGATCATCACATTGTACACTCTGTGGCAAATGGTGGAGATGCATGAGATGGTTCCTGGGAAGCGGTTTGATAGATACCACGAGTTGGGTCAACATGCCTTTGGTGAAAAACTTGGTCTTTACATTGTGGTGCCTCAGCAGCTGGTTGTGGAAGTTGGTGTCAACATTGTTTATATGGTCACTGGAGGAAGATCACTGCAGAAGGTCCACAAATCTGTCTGCCCAGGATGCAAAAATATCAAATTAACTTACTTCATCATGATCTTTGCTTCTGTTCACTTTGTCCTCTCCCACCTCCCCAACTTGAACTCCATTTCTGGTGTATCTTTGGCAGCAGCAGTCATGTCCTTGAGGTATATATAATTTCATTTAGGCTCCGTTTTGGAGTGCTTCTGGAATGGCTAACAAATAACAATTGAAATATATTTATCGATCATTAAAACGCTTTTCTAGAAGCACTTGAATTTTCAACAAAATTTCAATGTTCTTCTAATAAAAGCACTTATATAAAAAACGCCTATGACCACAAGTGCTTCCTATTGAAGTAGTCCTAAACAAGCCCTTAATTTTTTCTTAATTGAAGTTAATTAATGTTTTGTTGAACTAATTTCTTCAATGTTTTGATGCTTGCAGTTACTCTACCATTGCTTGGGCAGCTTCTGTAAACAAGGGTGTGGTAGACAATGTTCAATACGGATATAAAGCCAAGTCTACATCAGGAACTGTGTTCGGCTTCTTCAATGCCTTGGGGGAAGTGGCTTTTGCTTATGCCGGGCACAATGTGGTTCTGGAAATACAAGCAACAATTCCATCGACGCCGGAGAAGCCTTCCAAGGGACCCATGTGGAGAGGAGTAATTGTTGCCTATATAGTTGTGGCTTTGTGCTACTTCCCAGTTGCTCTCATCGGCTATTATATATTTGGCAATTCAGTTGACGATAATATCCTCATCTCACTAGAAAAACCTTCGTGGCTCATTGCAATGGCCAACATGTTTGTTGTCATCCATGTTATTGGAAGCTATCAGGTGAGTTTTAAACTCTCCAATTCCCTTTCTTTTCTTTCCAAAAGATTTTATTTTATTTTATTTTTTGCCCACCATTAGTCTAACTTTGCTTCTGTGTGTATGTGCTAATGCAGATTTATGCAATGCCAGTGTTTGACATGATAGAAACTGTATTGGTAAAGAAGTTAAATTTCAGACCCACCAGAACGCTTCGCTTCATTACGCGCAATATATATGTCGGTAAGTACACTTTTCCTTAATTCCATCAAGTTAAGCCTCAGTTAAACTGAAGTTGGATGAATGAATTCTAATTGACATTTTGTTGCAGCATTCACCATGTTCGTTGGTATTACCTTCCCTTTCTTCAGCGGTCTCCTTGGATTTTTCGGAGGATTTGCTTTTGCACCAACAACATATTTCGTAAGCCCCACAGTTCTTTAGCAAAACGTTACTTGCAAATTTTGATTCAATCAAATACTAGTCTGTAAATAAATTTCTCACATGAATGAACTTCTTAATATCTGCAGCTCCCTTGCATAATGTGGCTTGCCATCTACAAACCAAGAAAGTTCAGCTTGTCTTGGTGGTGTAACTATGTATGTTCAAATTTTTACATGTACTTTATATTGTTCACAATGTGCTCATTTGCTTTTTCTTCTGTTTCAGTTGATCTTATACTTTTCACTTCCATCAATTTCAGATTTGCATCTTTTTTGGTGTTCTTTTGATGATCCTTTCACCTATTGGAGGATTGAGAACAATCATAATTGAAGCCAAGAACTACACATTTTACTCATAAGTCATCAAGCCTTCCAGGCTGAATGCCTCAAAGGGTAGTAGGTTGCTGCAGGATGCATATGAAAACCCATTCAAAAGATAAAAAAAAAAAAAGAAGAAGAAGAAAGAAGAAAGAAGAAAGCTGTTGATGACGATGAAGAATTAATTAAGGACTATATACCTCAAGGGTCCTGCAATCATCGGAGAAAAATAAATAAGGTTGCTTTTGGTGAACACTTTGTAGATGGTGTTTCCGGGGAAAAGACTTTAAACCATGGGACCAAATTGAAGGAGCTCCCAAAAGAGCTCTACTGTTTCCTCTTCTCTTTTCTTTTTATGTGTTTTGTGGATGCATGTATATCGTCTTAAATTAATTTCTTTTTTGTGTTTGTTTCTGCATTCTGAAGTGGGTAGGTGTGAAATGTTAGCAGATTTTCAATACAGATTGATCTTATCCTATAATACATGTCATGAGAAGAAATTTAAGCAATTAGCCTCAGTGCAGTTACCCTTATGACCAATCTTAATAGGGTTTGGATCCGCCAAATAAATTTGAGTAATTTGGTTAAACATTTTGGTCAGATATTAATGTCTGAATCTGATAGTTTGAAATCTCTGAAATCCTCTGTTTTGGGTATATAAGATGCATGTGTAAATGCTCTTTATAATCTTCGATATGCTCTGTTTGTAAATTTAATTTTAAACTAGTTGGGATCACTCAATAAAAAAAGAAAGTGATAATATTGTATATAAGATGCATGTGTAAATGCTCTTAACTCCCCGTACCGGGTATATAATCTTCGATATGCTCTGTTTGTAAATTTAATTTTAAACTAGTTGGGATCACTCAATAAAAAAAGAAAGTGATAATATTAAAAAATGGGTGTGAGCTGACAGCCTGACAGGGTATCATAATCCCAGCTTGACCTTGTAATATTCTCTTTGGAGAGACCACCAGTCCACAAATGGCAGAAGGATCTTTGACTAGGTCGATTATATTAATGTACCATATGATATGATATGAGATAGGCAGCAACAGGAATCATAAAGAAATTTGTCTTATGAGAAATTCTTGTTCTTCATATTTTCAGGGACAGCAAAAGGTAGTTTCTTTCTGTACATATTTTCAACTCATTGAAACTCTTGTTCTTCATAACCGTGTCCTTCAACTTTGTTTTGTGTTGTTTTATTAGCCAGAGTCATTGTGTCACTTACTCTTTGCAACAAGTGACCTTTCTTATAGGCCGGTGAAGTGAAATTGTTATCAATTTACTGCGGTCCCTTTGATAACCATTTTTTGTTTCTAGTTTTAATCCAATAAGAAGATTATACAAAATTAAAATAATATCAACAACCTTTCAATTTTCTGTTGTCTATTATGACCAGAGTGAGCGTTCAACTCATGCTTCAAGCCAGTTTTTGAGGTTAATTGTAACTATGAAATTATAAATGGGAAAGACTTAAGAGAAGGAAATATATAAGTCTGTGAAGGAAGTAATTTAAGAATCCTGTTGCTCTCTGTGCCTGCATGAAACTAGAAAGAACCAGTTGTTGGTACTTGGTACTAAAATTCAAGGAGGGTCACTTTCTTTCCCCATCCAACCAGCATGAAAGCAAACAAAAGCATTATATGAAATTTGTATTTCTATACTTTAAAGTTTATTTCGCATTTGGTTGAAACTTGACAGGCCGAATAGAATATTCCTTAGCGAAGGCTAGCAAACAAAAATATCAACTTCAAGTCCGCTCAAGACTCCCTTGGACGGAGTTTTCTTGAGCTTGACATTCTGTCACCTCACCTCCGATAAATTATATGTTTCATCTTACCATTCATGTTTATTTTCCATGCTCTGATTCCTGCCTGCAAGACTTGAAGCCAAGCCTAGCTGCTAGCTACTCTCTGCATCCATGGGGGTTCAAGCTCCAACCGACCAAAACTCTTCTGTCCCCGTCTCCAGCAATGTAAGACTAGAGTTTGATTCATTTTTTTCAACCATTGGGTTGTGAGTTTGTTTAAGGATTAATAGTGGAATTGTGTACTAGAAATCACAGATAGACGAGCAACCGGAGAAGCAATCAAAGATAGATGAACAACTAAAGAGGCAGAAGGAAATAGATGATTGGCTTCCAATCACTTCTTCAAGGAATGCAAAATGGTGGTACTCAGCTTTCCACAATGTCACTGCCATGGTTGGAGCTGGTGTTCTCAGTCTCCCTTATGCCATGTCCAATCTTGGATGGTATGTTTTATTCAAAACACTAAATTTTGTTTTATGAATATGATCCAACTACCAACAAATTTAAAAAACAATAAGAAATAAAGTTTTAAATTGCTTGTTTTATTTATACAAGCGATGCTTGGGGGAGGGGGGATTTGAACATAGGGCCTCAGGTGCAGGCTCTTAACCACTTGAGTTACAAGCCCCTTCTTAAATTGCTTGTTTAATTTCAGGGGTCCTGGTACTGTTATTCTGGTATTGTCATGGGTGATCACCTTGTTCACTCTATGGCAAATGGTTGAGATGCATGAAATGGTTCCTGGAAAGAGGTTTGATAGGTACCATGAGCTGGGTCAACATGCCTTTGGTGAAAAGCTTGGACTTTGGATTGTGGTGCCCCAACAGCTGATATGCGAAGTTGGTGTGGACATTGTGTATATGGTAACAGGTGGAAAATCCCTGCAGAAGATCCATAACATAGCTCGCAAAGACAAAGACCCAATCAAACTCACCTACTTCATCATGATCTTTGCCTCTGCTCACTTTGTGCTCGCCCATCTCCCCAACTTTAACTCCATCTCTGGTGTTTCATTAGCTGCAGCAGTCATGTCATTAAGGTACAGCATTAAATAAATTAATTATCATATAAACACAAATTAGGAAACATAAGATTCTTAAACATTTTGTTGTTTGATTGATTGTGGTTGCAGTTACTCTACTATTGCATGGACGGCTTCAGTCCACAAGGGTGTTCAGCCAGATGTAGAATACGGGTATTTAGCTCCGAGCACATCGGGAACGATCTTCAACTTCTTCACTGCTTTGGGGGATGTAGCTTTTGCCTATGCAGGCCATAATGTGGTCTTGGAGATCCAAGCAACAATCCCTTCTACTCCGGAGAAGCCATCGAAGAAGCCTATGTGGAGAGGAGTGGTGATCGCCTATATAGTCGTGGCCTTATGCTACTTTCCAGTTGCTTTCATTGGATATTACATTTTTGGCAACAAAGTTGAGGACAACATCCTCATCTCCTTGGAGAAACCTGAATGGCTCATCATAACAGCAAACATGTTTGTTGTCATCCATGTCATTGGGAGTTATCAGGTGTGTTTTACTTCTTCTTTCCAATCTGCCAAGCTATCCATACTGGAAAGTTCAGAATCTGAACTTCAGATCATGCTCCAGTCTTGGTAAGTTTGCAATTAGATTTTGATAAATTCTTGTTGGGTTTTGCTTTGTCTTGTTGCAGCTATATGCAATGCCAGTATTTGACATGATAGAAACCTTGTTGGTAAAGAAACTCCATTTTAGACCCACTACAATGCTTCGCTTCATTTCCCGGAACACTTATGTCGGTAAGTAGTTCATCCCCTCATCCAGGAGAGTGAGACTAAGAGCAATGCAATCACTCACCAGAGTGTATATTTAATCATGCGCCTGTGTTACTGATTTCAGCGTTCACAATGTTCGTTGGCATTACTTTTCCCTTCTTTGGTGGTCTTCTAGGATTCTTTGGAGGATTTGCGTTTTCCCCAACAACATACTTTGTAAGTCTCCTAGTATCTGTCTCTTTATTTGTGGTCAAATTTAAGTTGAAGTTTGAAGTTTTAAAAAAAACAACGTCATCCATTCAATTTCATTCTTCAGCTCCCTTGCATTATGTGGCTTGCCATCAAGAAACCAAGGAAGTTTAGCCTATCTTGGGTTGTTAACTGGGTACGTATGTTTTTCAAGTTTGAATAAATATCTCTGCTTTAAAGACAGGACCAGCTCCATTTCTAAATTAGCTTCATTAATTTCAGATTTGCATTACACTGGGTGTTCTGCTGATGATCCTATCACCTATTGGAGGGTTAAGGAATATCATAATTCAAGCAAAGAACTACAAATTCTACAATTAGTATACAAGCTTGGCAAATGCACAAGTATGTTTTACCCTGAAATTAAATGCATATAGATGCAATGCAACCATATGTAACAAATAAGTACATGAAGACATACGAAAATAGGGTTGTTCAGTCTAGTTTGTAAGGAGGTGCCGACGGAGTTACTCAGAACAAAACTTATTAAGCAGGCTCTTCTTCTCAGAGTTTATTTTTGGGCGTTCAATGTGTATCTCATGAATGTATTGTCATTTATTTTTGGTGAAGGTATTGCCATTTAATTTCAGCATCAATGAAATAGATCTGTTGACTATTGCTAGTGATACTTGAAGTAGAACGGAGTCCCAGACTCACAGATTACAGATTACAGATTGAACCACGGCAGTAGAGAAACAAGGAAATACATTATCTCTCTTATCAAAGGCATAATTTTGAGATCCACATATCTCTCATACTTTTCAGACTGAAATGAATATAAAAATACGTTTTCTTTTTGTTTGTCTCGGCTCTTTCAGGGACAGCAAAAGGCAGATTTCTTCTGTAAATATTTCTTCAACTCGTTGAACCTCTTCTTCTCCATAACAGTTCCCAGCAACTTTGTTTTATGTTGTTTTATTAGCTGATTCATCGTATCACTTACTCTTTGCAAGTAGTGACCTGTTTTTATAGGCTGGTCAAGTCAAATTGTTGTGAATTTACTACATTTAGTTTTAATCCAATCAGAAGATTTTGTTGCAAGATTCAGGTTAATCACAACTATATATACTTTCTGTTGTCTATTATGACCAGAGTGAGCGTTCAACTCATGCTTCAAGCCAGTTTTTGAGGTTACTTGTAACTATGAAATTAGAAATGGGAAATACTTGAGAGAAGGAAATATAAAAGTCTGTGAAGAAATTAATTTAAGAATTCTGTTGCTCTCTGTGCATGCATCATGCATGAAACTTGAAACTGTCAGTATGCAGAAATTAGAAAGAAAGAACCAGTTGTTGGTAATAAAATAGGAGGGTCACTTTCTTAACCCAACCAGCATCAAAACAAACATAAGCATAATATGAAATTTGTATTTTTAAGGTTTATTTAGCATTTGGATGAAACTTTGACAGGCCGAATAACATATTCCTTAGAGAAGGCTAGCAAACAAAAATATCAACTTCAAATCCGCTCAGACTCACTTGGGGGAGTTTTCTGGAGCTTGACATTCTGTCAGCTCACCTAAGATAAATTATATGTTTCATCTTCCCATTCATGTTTATTTTCCATGCTCTAAGCCAAGCCTAGCTGCTAGCTACTCTCTGTATCCATGGGGGTTCAAGCTCCAACCGACCAAAACTCTTCCGTCCCCGTCCCCAGCAATGTAAGCCTAGAGTTTGAATCATTTTTATCAACCATTGGATTGTGAATTTGTGTACTAACAATCACAGATAGACGAGCAACTGGAGAAGCAATCACATATAGATGAACAACTAAAGAGGCAGAAGGAAATAGATGATTGGCTTCCAATCACTTCTTCTAGGAATGCAAAATGGTGGTACTCTGCTTTCCACAATGTCAATGCCATGGTTGGAGCTGGTGTCTTAAGTCTTCCCTTTGCCATGTCTAATCTTGGATGGTATGTTTTACTCAAAACACCACATCCAAATTTGTATCCTTTTATGAATATGATCCAATTACCAAAACATTTCAAAAACAAAAAGAGAAAAGAAGTTTTTAATTGCTTGATTAATTTCAGGGGTCCTGGTATTGTAATTCTGGTACTGTCATGGGTGATCACCTTGTTCACTCTATGGCAAATGGTTGAGATGCATGAAATGGTTCCTGGAAAGAGGTTTGATAGGTACCATGAGCTAGGTCAACATGCCTTTGGTGAAAAGCTTGGCCTTTGGATTGTGGTGCCTCAACAGCTGATTTGTGAAGTTGGTGTGGACATTGTGTATATGGTAACAGGTGGAAAATCCCTGCAGAAGATCCATATAATAGCTCGCAAAGACAAAGACCCAATCAAACTTACCTACTTCATCATGATCTTTGCCTCTGCTCAATTTGTCCTCTCCCATCTCCCCAACTTTAATTCCATCTCTGGAATTTCATTAGCTGCAGCAGTCATGTCATTAAGGTACAACATTATTTAAATTAATCAACATATAAACCCAAATTAGGAAACATAAGATTCTTAAACATACTGTTGTTTGATTGATTGTGGTTACATGCAGTTACTCTACTATTGCATGCACGGCTTCAGTCCACAAGGGTGTTCAGCCAGGTGTAGAATACGGGTATTTAGCTCAGAGCACATCGGGAACGGCCTTCAACTTCTTCACTGCCTTGGGGGACGTTGCTTTTGCCTATTCAGGCCATAATGTAGTCTTGGAGATCCAAGCAATAATCCCTTCTTCGCCGGAGAAGCCATCGAAGAAGCCTATGTGGAGAGGAGTGGTGATCGCCTATGTAGTCGTGGCATTGTGCTACTTTCCAGTTGCTTTTATTGGTTATTATACTTTTGGCAACAAAGTTGATGACAACATTCTCATCTCCTTAGAGAAACCTGAATGGCTCATCATAACAGCAAACATGTTTGTTGTCATCCATGTCATTGGGGGTTATCAGGTGTGTGTGTGTGTGAGTGTGTTTTACTTCTTCTTTGCTATCTGCCTAGCTATCTATACTGGAAAGTATAGATCAAGCTCTGGTCTTGGTAAGTTTGCAATTGGGTTTTGAATGTTGGGTTTTGCTCTGTCTTGTTGCAATTTGCAGTTATTTGCAATGCCGGTATTTGACATGATGGAATCCATGTTGGTAAAGAAACTCCATTTTAGACCCACTACAAGGCTTCGCTTCATTACCCGGAACACTTATGTCGGTAAGTAGTTCATCCCCTCATCCAAGAGAGTGAGACTAAGAGCAATGTAATCACTCACCAGAGTGTATGTTAATCATTCATGTGTTACTGATTTCAGCATTCACGATGTTGGTCGGCATTACTTTTCCCTTCTTTGGTGGTCTTCTGGGATTCTTTGGAGGATTTGCGTTTTCCCCAACAACATACTTTGTAAGTCTCCTAGTCTCTGCCTCTTTATTTGTGGTCAAGTTTAAAGTTGAAAAATTAACAAGTATTGATCGCGTTGTCCGTTTTGATTTCATTCCTCAGCTCCCTTGCGTTATATGGCTTATCATCAGGAAACCAAGGAAGTTTAGCCTGTCTTGGTTTGTTAACTGGGTACGTATGTTTTTCAAGCCCCAGTTCTAAATATTTATGCTTCAAAGGCAGGACCAGCTCCATTTCTAAATTGGCTTTATTAATTTCAGATTTGCATTACACTGGGTGTTGTGCTGATGATCTTATCACCCATTGGAGGGCTAAGGAATATCATACTTAAAGCCAAGAACTACAAATTCTACGATTAACAGACTTTTCAGCATCAATGAAACAGATCTGTTGACTATTGCTGGTGATACTTGAAGAAGAAGAGAGTCATAATTTCGAGATTGGCATATCGCCTAAAAGACGAAGAGCGTGGCCAAGTGGTGGCCGATGAAGAGGACGTCACTGGGGAAGAAGACGATGTAGTGGAGAAGATCGGTGAGGAAGTAGGCGACGCTGTAATCGAGAACAGTGTTCTGGAAGCGGGTGTTTTGGGAGGCGAAGCCGATGGCTGGGTCGGCGAGTATGGCGTAAGTGGATAAGAAGACAGCGGGGGTGCCGTGGGCGAGGGAAATTAGGCAGCTGGAGGCTTCGGGTCGGATCTTAGGGCTCCAAGTACGGAAGACGATGAAGTAGGCAATGATGTAGACGATGAAGAACATGGAGAAGAAGATGAGGAGGGATGGGATTGGGTTTTGGGTTTCCATTTGAACTGAAACACGAAACCCTCCCTTTGAATCTTTGACCAAGATTACAGGAACGAATTAGGCGTTTTATACTTGGAGATTACGACTCTCTGACTGACTATGTTTGACATTTAGAAAATCGAGTGAGAAACTTCAAAAAGGATTTGGTGAAGTTCTGGAAACGAAAAGCAAGGGAAGACGAAACGACATAGATAAATGAAACCTCTTCCTCATTGGGCTGCGTTTTAATTTTTTTTATGAGCTTCATCAAATTCATTGGGCTTTGATGGGCCCCTGCGACATCTCTATATTCTATTCTTTCTTTTTTATATAATATTGCAGCAGTCAAAGAAAAGTCATTTACGAAAAAGCATACACAACCAATTGCGCAGACAATTTTTTTTTTCTTTTTTTTATTTATCCTTTTTTCGCATCAAAAACATTCTTTTTTTTCTTTTGCTTCTTGGTTCGTTCATGAATACAAAAGCAGCAACTGTTTAATCAATTTCTCCCTCCTCTATATCATTTACAGGACTTGGAACACTAGCAGCAGGCTCAATTTCTTCCTCCTCTTCATCGTCTTTTATGTACAAGCCAAGTTGCTCCAGAGGGTTACTTCCACCAAACCTAAAACCGCCTAAGCCATCCTGTGAGTGATCTGGGCTTGTTTCATCTACAGAGCTTGGTAACTGCTCCACAGGGGCAGTTCTTAGCATTTCCAGATCTTGAAGAAACTGAGAGTTCTCATTGATTTCAACCGTCTTTTCTATCTGTAGCACACGTGGCATCAAATGTCCCAATAAATATCCACACAAATTAAAGGGCGCTATTTCTGCAACATGAGGGTGTGACGATTTACCTGCAGCAATGCCTGCCGTGCTGCTTCTCTCTCAAGCTCCCTCTTCCTTTTAGCCTCTGCTGCAGCTTCTGCTTCAGCTCGCCTTCGAGCATCCTCGGCCGCCTTGGCTTCTGCTTGTAACCGCGCTTTTTCTGCTCATATATTGGCAACATAATCAGTTGCTAGATCTCAACAAAAATTCAGTTTAATAAACCAGGAGATGTCTATGAATTATCAACCCAGCACTGCAAACCACACATACATGCACACACTAAGGAATTGATGTAAACCACTAAGTATAACTTTAAACGTAAAGATCACAACCTTTCTTCTGTTGCAATTCAAGTTCCTCCCTCTCCCGCCGCAATTTCTCAGGATCTCCTTTGTCACCCTGATCTCAGCCAGATCAAATTGCACCGGATCATATCCAGAGTAGAAAATACTTGCAAAATGGATACATACAAACACGGTAAGTATACAAGTAGCCTGACTCTGTAACCCACCTGATTAAGTGTTTTCTCTCGAGCTCTTAAAATGGTATCAGCAAAACGATTCTTCAATACAGCAGCCCTGTACTGCTTCTCAGGGGAGACCGGCCTCTCTGTGGGAGCACTGTCCCCTAAATTTTTTTGAGAGATGAACAATGAGATACTACCACAAACCCACGTCATAAGTTTTTGTTTTTGTTTTAACTCTTAGGCTTACCATCCTGACAACAATCTGACTCAACAGGACTTGGCTTCTGCTGGGAACTTTGTTCAACTTGATCCAACCCACTATCAGACTCTGCAAGATCCCATGGATTAGAAATATTAATCATCAATAAGAAATTCAAAATTCATATGCACAATCATTTCAGAGAAGTGTAGGCCATGTCTATAGGAGAGTACAACCAAGATGGTTGTTAAAATCATTGACAGTCCCCAAATGAACTAAATTTATGCCCAATCTACAAGATAAATATAATAATCAATTATCGGATTGCAGCATATAAGGTATCATGTTTATTAGAGATGAATGAAACCATAGACAGATCAAATGCATCTGGCAACACAAAACAAGATATGCTCTTCCAAACCCTTCCATCTCTATTTTAAGCAGGAAGGTACTTCCTCTCTATTTATGACCCCGCTTTAATTAGATTTCCTACTGCTTTAGAGGCTTAAGCTCTACACATAAGAGCCTTTTGCAGGAATAAGAAGAGGCAGGCTTCGATATTGTTAAATAAAACAGAGTTTCGCCTTTCTTTTCCTTTTCCCTTATTTTCTTGGTGTTCTTAGTGAAAGCACTTTTTTTTTTCCTCTGTTGAGAAATCCTACAGAAAGGTTGTGTCCTTGTTTCCCACCTCTTTGTCCACTACTGTATGAGGTAAGGGGTCTTTGCTGGAGAAAACAGCCATTTGATTCTGTAGTGTTAAAAAAATTGAGATCATATAAGCAATATTACTCAAAAGACATTCTTCGAAACTATACAAGCAAGATTACTCATTTATTAAACACAATCATTCAATGGTGATATCCAAGCTAATTCTACCATAGATGGTGTCCAGAAAGTGTACCCTGCCCAGGACATTGTCAAAGGATTCCCTAATATTTTCTATAATCATGTACTCTATTTTCTACACACCCTGTGTTTCTCTTTTATGGTTTTTCAAGGAGTGGAAACTGTATACCAAAATTATTTCTATGTAACACCTAGCGAATGGAAGGAGGAATGTGATTTTATTTAAAAATACTCACGATTTCCTTCAAGGGGATTATCAATTGTCTTTTCATCTAACTGAGCTCCAGAACCTACAGTTTCTGGTACCTGAAGAACAATTAAGTATGACATCAGGTCCACCAGTCAAACCACCAACAATACACTACTGTACCATACAAAATCAATAGCACAGCACAACAACCATCCATCATGAGAGAAGCAATTTTGATTTATATATTTAACATAAATTGTCCCACAGCTTAGATGCATTTACCGGACTTGAGGCCTTAGCATCATCACATTCACTCTCAGAACTGCTAGAATCTGAATCTGTGAAGCATACATAAGATACAAAATTGTTTAGTGTTTATGAATTCACAAACAGATCGAATTCACATTACTCTTTCACCAGCATAATAACTCTTTGTTTTTCCTCCATTCAATTAAAAGTCAAACATCATATAATTGAAGGCATGAAATCAGAGAAATAAAAGTTTGCTCTAACAAGCTCTACTCCAGTGAAGAAAAGGGAAATCATTACCAAAACTGTGAAAAACCTCAAACAAGGACGAATAGTCAAGAAACAAAACATATGAGGGACCTAACCAAAGAAAGACCACAACAGAACAAACTCAATTTACCGCTGGAGCTGCTTGAGCTGATGCCTTTACTAATTTTATGGCCTGTATCCTTTTCTATCTCCACAGGAGGATAGCTTGAGACAGGAGGCTCATTTCCACCAATATCAACATCCTCATCGGCTGGGTCATTCCCTAGAAATGCATATACGTGAGAGGCAAAAACAAAGTGTTTCATACGTCCTAAAACTGAAGTCAGAATTTATATATGCAAGGAGATGAAGAAGAATATGACCTTTGCATGGCTGCATGGATGAATTGCTCAAACCTGATTCGTTCAAAAGCTGCAATAATAATGAGAACAATGTATGCTTCAGGCATGTATAATCTAATTTGATTCCAGGAACAGGAAGAAGGTGAGGTCGAGTTCATACCTCTATTGAACAAGGTTCAGCCCTCACATGGTTCTTTTGTTTCTCTTGCAAATGCTCATTTAAAAGCTTCCGCAATGTGAACAAGGTATCATCACTTAGATCATCAACATCAATCTCAATCTCATCCTCCTCAGAGTCATTTCCATTTGAACAATGTTCCCTCAAGAAATCAATGATGAGTAAAGGTATTTCTCCATGCAAAGACTCCAAATCTCTGCTCAGATTATGTTTCTCCTCCTTTGTCATTACCTGCTTAGCAGGCTCAGACTTGACTTCATGGTGCAGCGACGTGATCATCCTCTTTTTCGCAGGGGGCAATGGCTTAGGTGTTTCTACCGCTTCACGAGGACCAGATTTAGCTGGTGGTGGTTGGCAATCAGCCTTTGGCAGTTTTTTCTCAATGGTTTTCCACCTGACTTCAAAAAATTTACTAAGAGTATCAGCCATGACATAGACATCATTTGTTGGTGGATTGTAGGTCATAGCATTCGTGAAGGTAGTCCTGACATCAGCAGCAAACTCCAATGGGCTTGAATAAGATCCTGAAGCTATCTTGGTCTTTACTGTACCCAAATCCATTGGATGCTTGATGACAGCGAAATAATCCGGAATCTTCAACTTCACCACATCAACAGGGGTATTGAAAACCCAAGAAAATTGATGGGACATTAACCGTTTCAATAGTGTCTCGCATTGTTTCATAAGAATCACACTAGCAGTGCTAGGTGCTGAAGCCTGATTCACTGATTCAACCCGCCCAGAAGTGCCTGGATTCCATGCCTGTGCTTTCGAAGCCACAGGATTCAGTTTTTTCCCCTGCCCAGTTAATGCCGATGACTTACGGAGATTTTCAATATGTGGCCCATTCCGGCCATTGTTGCAGCTGAGGATGTCACTAGAAGAGGACACAGTAACACCATTGGTTCTGTGCATTTCAACTTTCTTCTGAAGTATTCGGATATGTTCAAGTTCCATTCTCAACCTATGTAGCAAATCTTTCCTTTCGGAGGACAACATGTTTGACAGGGGGAGAACTTCTATGGGCACGCCAAAACTGTCGCATTTACTAGAATTCAAACTAATACATTTCCTTGTTGGAGCACTTGAATCCTCAGAGGCAGT